GAAAGAAATACGGTGGTAATCATGTCTACGTGTACGAAATAAGTAGATCTGAACATGTCAAATTGCCAAGAGCTGTAAATGCGGAATTTTCAAACAAACTTTTACCGTTAGGCTTCACGGTGCACCAGGCCTATCGTTTACACAAGAGTATTAGATAATTTTTTAACGTAAAATGTGCTATTTTTTACGGAATGCCATAAACGACTGCCTACTGCTAACTGGACAGCTTGCTGCTTATTGCCTACTGTCAACTGCTTATTGACAATCCAATCTGTACACACAGGTACGCCCGCCATTTTATTGAAAAATCTGCTGAGGTATATTTCACAGAAAACAATGGGAAGTATATTAAAAGGATTATTTTATAATTATGCCTAATAATTTGTGTCCCACCCTTGAACACTGATCATGTTAATGTTACAATGTACTATATTACTAGTTTGTTAAAAATTCTTCTTTTTTTTAAATTCTTATAATTATCTTGTCTGTTTTGTTTTCTTAACAAACACACTTAAAAGATCAAGCACTCAAAAAAGAACTTTTATGGTGGTTATATTTTCTATTTCTTTTTATAATTAACGCAATTGAAACCAATGAACATCTCGGCTTTCGTATTTGCCAGAATCATTCAATGAAAGTTATTAATATTTCTGTCAGGTTTTAAGAGGTTTGACAACTCAAGTTAATAGTTCTAAGACATCGTGATAGTGTAAAGCTTCTATGGTATGATATGAAGCATTTTAAGTTACCTTTCTTATTTCGTGTGTAAAACTTTATATTGCAGAATATATTTAAATTAATATAATATCATAACAATTATATTACTCATAACAGAACTTTAAGTTATAATTCTGATTTAAAATTAATTGCTTTCCCCGAATCTTTGCAAATATTTTTATAGGGTTTTTTACAGGCATCTCATAATTTTTTTTTTGAAAAAAAAATGGTGTATACAAGAAAATATTAGCTTACAGGTCTCATTATTGGGACAACACATACTTTTTATGTGGTGTTATCATCAATAAGTGTATTTTGTTGTTTTTTTTTTAATTGTAAATAAAAAAAGTTCTTTAAAAATAAAATATCATAATTATCTTTTTTTTTTTTTTTTTTTTTTTTTTTTTTTTTGTTTATGTTTATTGTCCCCCCGGAAACAAAGTTTTAGCAAACAAAAATGATAAGTCTACATTACTTTTTAATGCACATGACTGTACATAATAGATGTCAATGACATACATATTTTAAGACTTTTCACGAGTCTCATTGTACAAGTTCCAATATTCCATATTGAATATAGAAATAAATTTGTGTTGCTATATTATAACCAAATATGGTTGCTTCTTAATATGCTGTATCATCTTTTTTTCTTTTGGTTCTTAACTTTCACGAGCATTTTGTTAAACATTAGAGGTAACATTTACTTTGCTCATTCAGTTGTTTGACAAATTATCTGGAAATGAGTTGGATTTTCAATGAAACCGAATTTAAACGCACATTTTCATTATTCAAGAGAGATAACTCGTACATGAATGACCACAATGGGTAAAATATGAATTTGCCATGATCATTTGGACTCAGAAAATGAAAACGAGAACTTAATTTGATAGGGTTGTTTCACAATACATGATATCATATATATTGAATCATCACTTGGTCTAAACGTTAACATTGTTTTTAGATTATGCAATAACCCCCTGAAGGCATTGGTATACATACACGTGAATATAGTATGATTACATATTAATATTTGCATATTTGCATGTAGAAATATAAATAGAAGAGATATTCAGTACTGTTCTTTCTTTTATTTACAACAATCCCGAATAGAGAAAGCAAAATCATGTTATATCTTATGTTAATATAACAAAAGAAAGGACACAAATGTACATTTTGTGAATTTGTTTTTTATAATTATATATAAATTAAATATCTCATGCATCATAAATTGTTTCAAGTATTCTTAAAAAATAAAACGGCTATCGAGTCATTAACAAATTAAATGTATGACACTGTATAAAATATATTAATTAAAAATGTATTTGGTACTTCATGTTAAACCATATAAATGGCATATCTGATTCAGTCACAACTTTTGTAAATAAAAAATTAATAAGAGCTAAAATGAAAAAGTAATGCCAACATAATTATGTAAATGTTGATGTTATGAATTTTTTAAATATAATGTAATCATAATTACAAATACAAACAATATAGGCAATATTGTTGTATAAAATAATAAAATTTTTTGAAGGTATCAAAGAAATCTGAACTGTGAATTACTTTAAGAAAAGTATTTAAAAACAATATTCTAGTATTGAGAATATTAAAGTGACATTATGCCAATCCAAGGGTATATATTGAGTGAAAATGTTAAAGACAAACAAAGTTGACAATTTTCTATCATTCCCTTCTATTCTATAATTAAGAACGCATGAACTATATATAACTCACATAGCCCAAGGAAGTTGTTATAAATATCCATCGAAATGTATGTGTTACGTTCAAATTATGAAAAAGAGTGGGACAGTCTTGTTATATTTAAGGCAGATCTATATGTTCTCATGATCAATATCAAATATCAACTGTTGGTCAATTTGCATTTTAATGGTCAATATTTTAAAATATAAATTCAATTCATTCAGCTCAACTTGGCAAAAAAAATATGAGAATAATGTCACTTTTAAGGTACCAAATTATTGTGACAAAAACAATGTAGTCGCATTCAAGTGAATCAATTTTAAATGCGAAGACTCAATATTTTATAAAAATATTGATACAATGCAAAAATATTTAATATTTAAACGTTATTCCGTCTTTTAAAAAAAGAAGCAACCAATTTGGAAGTTCGATATGTCTTTATTGATTTAACAGATGTTCAAGTATGGGTATGCACATACGTGTATGTTCTGTTCTTAAACTGATGTCAAATATAAATATCTGAAAAGGTAAACGACCAGGTAAAACATCTTGATCATGTCTACATGAGAATTTTATTTTCTTTACAGAATTTCTATGACCTTATTGGCTGATGGTAACTTGCTTCAAATACAAGCATAAAATATCTTAGGAATATAGACAACACAATCGCAAGTTTCACATTGGTCTGTCGTGCATTAATATTTCGTACATTGATAACACTGACACTTTAATATCTGCTTATTCCAATATGTTTATTTCAATATTTTCTACATAGAAAGATAAATATGTTTTACACGAGTATTAAATACACATTAACACAGCTTCTATGTATTATGGGAACGATAACACACGTATATCAAAAGTTGAAATAATGATTTTCCTTTTACATTACGAAAAAAAAAATTATCTTATTCTTATACATCAATTTTCCAAATAACGATCGAGAGTGTTAGTTAATTCCTATACTGATTGTTAAACAATGAATATAAATTTTACATAAACTCATCCACTTTTATGATTAATATTGATTTTCGACATTATACGTATTCATATAATTATCTCCTTTAATATATATTCATGAATTCAATACGTTACGCATATTCTGTATTATAATAATAATATAATATCATATTGTTTAAAAAGAAAGGGTGTTCATACTATATGAGCTTTATATTATAACACATATCAATACAATCCCGTCACTGATCAGTTCAATACGTATTTTCCAATTGAATATTCAGTTAAAATAAATAAATAATGCAGTGATAAATGATGTGCATGTTTTAGTAGCTCAATTAAAATGGTAAGTAACACTTGTGATATCAGGTAATGGGACATCATATGTATTTCAAAATTAACAAACGGCGCATGTAACTTTCTTTTCCTCTTCATACGATGGTCATAAAAGTGATGTACATTTGACGATAGAAAATATTAAATCTGCATTCACGTTTAACTTTTAATTCTTATAATAATACTTAAACAATTTTCTCGTATTATATAAAATTTGGTAAAATAATAGTTATTAATCATGGTTAACGTGTTAGATTTTCACATCAAACGATTACACTTTTCTCAAAATGAGCAAACAGCGCATGTTATTTTTTACCCCCCCCCCCCTTTCGTACGGTGGGCATTTCAATGATCCGCACTTTGCATACACGAAATAGAATAGTATAATTGTAAATGATATACAGCGATCAAATGATGTATTGAACTATCAAAACTTTTCATATGACGCAAGAAAATCAATAAACGCCGTTGTGAGAAACAGAATAATTGTGTGTGTTTTTTTCTTTGCTTAGAAATAAAAAGGAAAACAGTAGGTTTTCATTTACAAATTTAGTAACTAATTGAAAAATCAGGAAACTGTGAATCTTGTTAACTTATCTTTGTTATCTCGCTAACATCGATTACATTTTATACTATCATTGTCAAATAGCATTTTTCTATATATTTGTAGTTCCGTCAAAAGTTACCACAGTTGATGTCGATTAAAGAAACAATTGCCCAAAAGTTAATAAATAAACGGCAAGAACATTAATTAATATCGTGCTTATAGTTCAATCCTATCTTACATTAACACTCAAGTTAGATGAGGTTATGCTTATCATTAGTATCACACATTGAAATTATTTTTCCTCTGATAGGGATACTTGTCACTGGTGCTCTTAAAATACGTCTAGAAGAGTACACAATTTCTTGCACATGTATTAATTATTATGTGTAAAAGATTTCCTTAAATTTACAAATATTACTATGGAAAATAATGTTCATGTTACAAACAATTGTTTAAACAACTGTATTAAATAATGTTTGTAGAAATTATTCATTCTTCTCTATCAAAAGTATCCTAAATTACACAATCAAGTAATTCAACACCAAATGGTTTTACCATTAATTTATTTCATTTCAATTTTTATTGATTTATATCTTATTCTTGCGCAAAACAGCCAATCCACTTGCTTATTTTACATCAACTTTTTAAGGTTATATTTTAATGGTATATTAATTACTGAAACATGAAATATGATTAATGAGATAATTATTGAAGAAAGTATTTAAGTAAAACACAACAGTGATAATGCTACATAAATATAATAAGAATTTCAAAAGATGATATAACAATAGTTATTTTATTTTAATTTTTACTTCTAATTCTCTTTTTTCTATCGCCCATAGTTTGTATATTGTCCATTTATGAGTGTGTGTATAAACTAAGTGTATGGCTGTACACTCGTCGATCTCCCATTGTATGAATAAGAACACACAGCACATGTCAGTTCCCAGCCATTTTTGTATGGATCGCATCGTAGTGAACCACATTCGCCTTCAACAAAATAAAACATTTTCCCATTCAAATTCTGATGAGTTCCCTCTAACGTTTCGGGATTTCCATCAACACACACAAATTCAGAAGATGAAGCATGACTGTAGTGTTCAGCCATAAGGTAGCCTTTATACTCTAACATGTAATTGTCATGACAACGATTCTTTCCCGGCACCATCAGAACGTTATTACGTGGTATTCGACAAACTGCACATGGAATCTCATGGTCATGAAGATACGTCCATCTCGGATATCCATTTGTTTCATATTCTGCTCCATATATCCTAGTTGCAGATTGAAAACCATCGGTACGCTCTTCAAAATCTGGATCTTTTGGCAAACATAAAGGATTGGATGCAGTTCCGCTATGAGTATAATGTGATCCAGCAACGTAACCGTCGTACACTAGGACGGCTTTACCAGGACACGTGGTACGACCCCAGCGTATATATGTGGCACCATCAGAGAATTTCTGGGTTTGTATAAGTGTGTTATTCAGATTTTCTAGTTTTTGTTCAGCATCTGAAATTTATAATAAAATAATTATAAATTATGTTTATAACATTAAGGATTGGCTCTTAAAAGTAATACTATAAAAATGTTGGTACGCGTCCATATTCATCATAAATTTTATGAAAATATTCCTAATGTTTTAAAAGTAAAATAGTGTGAAAAGGACAAAGAAATAAATTTGCACATTGCAAACGGCACTTACTATTCACGTAGAAATATGCAAAATTGGCCTGACTGCGTTAGTTAGGCAGTAGAAATCTAGTGATAAATACAGCAAAATCAGTCATTACCACCATATAAGATATAAATTTTCACTTGAATCTTTAATCGTTTTACTTTTCTCACAATCGATGTAAGTACGTTTTTATCATGTTAGATTTTTTTACTGTTTACAATCAATATTACTTTTTTTCATTTTACACATTAGTTACAAAACGAAATGTGTGTGTTGTTTTTATTTATATTGTCATAACAAATCATTGTATCGCTATTATTATTTTTTCTATTCAAACTATCAAACCTGCTAGTTTTGCGGCTAATAGAGCAATTTTCTTGTCATGTGTTGGTGATTTTTCAGCATCTGAAATGAGAAAGAGAACTATCAGAACATTTATTTTAAATATAATATCATAGGAACGTCTGAGTACTAGTCTCTACATTTTCCCTTTTTCCAAGACATATTTTAAAATTAACTTTTCATTTTTAAATTTGTATGTAACCGATGTTCATTCTGCAAACGAACTGTCTTGTTATTTTTACTAATACATAAAATAACTTAGAAGGTAAATTAATGTAATTTTTGTAGTTCTTCTTACAAAGTGATCTGAGTTTTTATAAACTTGATAAACTTAGCTTCTGATTTTACATCTTTAAAATCTGTAAGTCAACGATTTATATTGTAATAAATTAAGTTGAATTTTATTGCTTTGGTGCGTATGCAATTATCTTATTGGTTTTCTTTTAAATAGATCATATGAATATATTAAAAGCAACATTTATATAGCCAAAATAGTGAGAGAAAAACATTAACAAAAGTTTTAAATTAATAGTATAATCTAGTAAGAAAAACGAAAATTCTGTAAATATATGTTTCATTTAAATCATTAAGGAAGAGGAAAAAGAACATTTTACCTTCAAGCTTGGCTGTAAGTAGAGCTATTTTGTTCTCCTGTTGAGCAGTTCTTTCTTCCAGCTGTATCAATTTTGATAACAATTTATATTCACAATCAAAATTTTTGCAAGTCGATGCATATTCCGAAAACGAGACAGAAATTGCAGACGTTAATAAAATGACAAATGAAAACAATTTTGCCTTCGTCATGATGTCTTGATATTCTATCTAAGGCTTGAAAACATTGTGTTTAAAGTGACTTTTTATACCATACACATTTAAAGGTGGTTACCCGCAATCGGCTTATTTGGAATGCATTATCCCATTTTACATACTTATGTTGGACTCTATGTATCTTTGCGCCATGATATTCGACGGTCATTGTATCTATATAATAGTGCATTTAATGTGAACCAATAGATTAGCTATACAGTGAGTTTATAATTGATCAATTTAGTGGTAAACTTCTATGACCTTAAAAAGCGTATAGTTAAAAAGAACCAATTAAAGTAAAATGTGAAAGACCAGAGTCCTCCAAACTAAGGAAATCATTGTTGATCCCGTAAAATCTCAATCATTGATTCAGGTGTGTTCCAGCCTTAGCAGTTAACTTTTTGAAATAGAAAATGATCAGATAATGTCAAGACACCACAATACCTAGGGAAATATGTGACAGCTAATATTCAACACTTGATACCTGCCGGGTGAGATATTCATCCAATTAGTCTAATAAACACCAATGACATTTGGCAAAAGATTTCATTAAAAAAAAATATATAACCCTTTACGGTCATAGTATTTGGTCATATTAAGTTTGACTGTTTATTTTAAAAGTCGAAGTATTATGGTCGCTGGCTGCGTAGTTGTCGTCATCACCTTGCACAACCGTTAATGTAGCCCATGATTTATACATTTTAAGAAAACACCAATAGGAAAATATTACTTTTTGCTTATTGTGACAATGGTAAGTTGCAGGGCAATGGAAATTATTCTGAAATATATATCTAAGAGTTGTGGTCTTTTGAAGTTTATTTATTTCTTTTTTTGTGTGTGTCATATTTGACTTTTAAGAGGCATCAATTCACTATAACTTTGAAAATAATCATCACGGAACTTGTGCTATTTGTTTCATTAATTAAGGTAAACGTGTAAGGCAAGTCAAATTATTCCAAAATATTTTTTCACTTATTAATCCTCATTTTGAATAACGAATTTGTAAGGAATGTTTCATCACTTATGCTATGATTTTAAAACTAAGGTAGCCTACTATTTTAATATTTTAAAAGCAATAAATACGATATGTGAAGTATTTGCTAACCATGGCATTGTGCGATTTGGTTAAATTATGATACATTTTAGAATAAATTAAATATGAAATCAAAAATTTCAAATGTAATATAGGGCACTCGTTTATCGTGACACATAAAAGTTGAAAAAGGTGAATTATCACACTTACACTACGTGTCTTTGTATTAAGCTTTTTGTAACATATTTCCGGCTTAATTGAAACAAATGTTTTATTTTGACATAATGAAAGTTAAGATAAAGAAAAGCTTTAAATGTATTGTATATTTGATCAATATTTAATAATTTAAAACGCAATGAACAAACTAAAAATTCTTTCAAAATACCTTAAGCTTAACTAGAATTATTAAACATGTTGAATAATACATTCAATTCTGAATTCCAAAAATGGTACACGTTTTGGTGATTTAATGTAAAAAGCATACTGCAAAAGTAAGATGGTCCACCTTTAACTTCACGTTCAAAACTTCCTTTTTTCAAAATATACTAGGATACATTTGTTTTTTTTTATTCACGACAGAAACTCAATAGCAACATACTGATTCTATCTACTGAATGAAAAGCCCTGGAGAAAAGTTCAAAAAAGACACATTGTAAACTTAACATAGATACCAACTAACAAAAGAGAACGTAAACTTTTATCTTATTCATTGTTAGAGAGAAAGATAATGAACAAAGCTATTCAACTTAAGAGAAGATATAACTTCAAAATAAAAAAATATTTAGCATTCTTTGGAATATATTTGTTCATAAAAACTTTTGTTAATAAAAGAAAACTGTAATATAAAAGTATCAACAAGCTAAGCAAAATGTCTTTTTTTCACATCGAAAACAAAAGAACATGTATACGGCTTTACAAATAATGATCGTATACCGAATGTCTCCACTTTTACAATAAGATTTAATTATGTTTAATGTAAAATCTCCTCCCACTGACCAAACATTGTTTAAATCGTAATAGGTTGTTTTTTTATTTCAAACAAGAGAGCCTTTAATTTTAGGGTATGTAAATTTCATTACCAGAAACATGAAACGCGTCATTAACGTTTTCATATTATATATTTTGTATTTTTCAAATACTTTGCTAAGAAAATAGTGAGTGTCCCCTTTTCTTGTGTTTCAAAGAAATCAACGAAAGTCAACTCACTATATCCCACTTTACTTCAAAATTTTAGTAGAATAAAATTACTTGCTTCCACCACGTGAGTTTTATTTTCGACTTCGTCGTTTCACATTCGTGCAAATTCTGCTTTAAAAACCTAGGAAATAATCATCGCGATAATTGATTATGAATTATGGGTATCAATAATGACTGACGTTGTTTCAATCAACTCTGTAAAGAACCTAAATAAAAAATTGTCAATAACGCTTAAAATATTGTAAATGTTGGTGATTCTATCGATCCTTTGGACTAAAACATGCCATACCAAGGTAAATTTGTCCCTTTAAGCGACGATTTTATACAGCAAACAAGAAACGACGCTCATCAAATGACACGTAGGCATCACCCCACCCATTTGACATTTCATGTCGCGGGGCAATAGCACTATGTGTAGATACCCCCAAAAAACAATTTGTTTAGGTCTTGTAAATTTAGCATTCAAACTTAACGTTACTTTATTTGTACCTATCCCTTATTGTTTTTTTATTCAGACTTAGTGTTAAAACGCCACTGAATGCAATAACTGTGAACAATCAATAGCTGGTGTTGTCAATTATCAGTTTTATGCCACACTGACGTCATCCGAAAAATACAGTGAAAAAAAAATATATTAAGATATAGTTTATATTCGACAATATAACATATTTCTGCAAGGTATAAAATACAAATTAACTGGAAATTTTGAGCAAAAACACACAAAAAAAAGATCCACCGGTATGGAAACCCATGTAAGCAACACAATAAGTGACAAAGGTATCTGCAATGTAAGGCGTACTACAAAATGATAAAAATAATATATAGTACATACAGCACTTTTAAAAGCACAATACATTGAATGCAAAATAATGATTACCAGAGACTTTTTTTGACTTTCAAATCGATGTGTGTAATAATGAATAAATGTAAGTGTTGTCAAGGTTCCTGTGTAAACAAGTAAAGATATCATATTATTATTGTTATCATTATTATTATCATTTTTATTATCATTATTATCATTATTTTTATTATTATTATCATCATTGTTATCATTATTATTATTATTATTATTATTATTATTATTATCATTATTATAAACATCATCATTATCATCATCATCACCATCATCATTTATTTTATTATAATTATTATTATCATCATTATCATTATTGTTATCATTATTATTAAAGGAGCGCCGCTGTTTTCGTAACTTAGACTTTAGTCTAATTGCTTAGTACTGATTGGTTCCAGTGACTGATTCGAGTAAGAATCCGTAAGCTTAAAGAATCGAACTTGAAAAAGCTTGTACCAACTAAACCAAGTAAATAATTATGGAAGCTTTGCAAGATTAGTAAATATCTGTGCTACGCGTTGTTGTTAAATAAGTCTTTGTTTCAGATTGTTAAAACTCAGATTATTTGAAAAAATAATATTAAGGAGATACATTTTTAAGTGTTTATTATAAACTGAAACTTAATGTTTAGCATCTGTTATAAGAATATATCACTTAATTAATTTGCTTTCTGCTAATTTCGGGGCCTTACCTCGCTTAGGATTCAGATCTGGATATAACTTAGAGCCAGTGCACATTATGGCACCACGAGTTTTAATATCCGACCTACTGTGTGATGATCTTAAGGCAACTTTTCAGTTTACTTGATTGAACCACTGATATATACAAGTCACGCACAGCTGGGAAATGAGATTAGGAAGAAACCAAATGTCCCTATGCTGGATTAAAGCCAACAATAACGCAATCCATAGGCTCTGAAATACCTGACACAATGATATGTAACTGTGATTTGAGTATAATTCCAGTATATAATTGTTATACAAACGTTTCCGGGCTTCGAGTCTGTTACATTGTATTAAGATCAGAACCTGATGTTATCATCAAATCCTAGTTATCTGGATACGTCCGTGAATATAAGGGTTGTCGATATTTGATTGAAGCTAAACATAATAAAGGAATAAACATAAAATATTATAAGCTGAATGTTATTTCATAAATTAACGTATTTTTATCCTGCATTATTTCTGATACTCTATATCATGCAAATAATGAAACTCACACGGGACATAATTAAGTCATACATTCGTATTTCTGTATTGGCACATAACTGTATCTCTTTTCATTCAATAAATTATGCAGCCGGCATGGATGAGTATTTATCGCGTCTGACAAATTATCTTTAGCCGCGTGTGTCCAAACCTCACAATGTTACGGTTTAAATGTTGAATTCTGCCTAAGTCGGTGCTAGGGGGCGTGGACGGTAACTTGCACTTATCAGTACCTTCCATGAACAGGCTCAATGAAACCTACACTGCAACATTTTCAATTTTGTCGTGTTGGACTTTCTTTTGGGATTCAGTTTTTTTTTCTATTTTATTTCGATATTTCCTTGAACAAGAAATGTTACACTCATAGTTCAATACCGTTTGGATCCATGGATGGATTCAAAAGTGTGTCTCTAAGCTTATAGCTTCCTTCAAAAACTGACTATAATTCTGTATAAAACAAACCCTGTTCGACTGTCAATTATATGTGCAATGTTCTCTTGCAATGATGATCAATAATTATTTTATAAACAATGGCCTCAGGCCTCCGTTATCAACAAAGAATGTAGACTTAGTCTTAAAATTGACTGCTTTAAAAAATCTTACTTTTAACTTTACCATCTAAAACAAAAACGTTTTAATATCACTTATTATGTTACATGTATTGCAAAGACAGACTTAAATGTACAAACAAAACTATTGTGTTTATCTTCCGGTTAAAAGGCCCATTAAGCCTGAGAAATTCACTTT